GGATGGTGTTGTGGCGGTAGCCGATCGTCGACGTCGTCAAACGGGTGTGGTGGGAGTGAAGACGATGCGGCGGGTAGAGTGTCGAGCGATGCAGGCCGTGATTGGGAGTTGTCTGCGAAAAGGTGGTCGGCCGCGGTGGCTCTTCTGGCGTCAAAGTTGTGCTGATTGGCTGGCATGGCGCCGGTGGAAGAGCGAGTGTCGAGACGGGAGACGGACTGTGCTGCAGCGGGTGCCATCATGGCGGGAGAAAAGACGAGGATGGAGGATACGAGGATGGCTGCCTGTGTTGCAAAGGTGGCGACACGCGTGCGCCGACGACGATGAGTGCGCGATGAAGCCGAGGCCGAGGCAAGCAAGGCGGGCAAGTGCCGCGATTTGCGCTGCGGTGTTGCGGGTGGCAGAGAGTCGCGATGGAGAGCATTGGATGTATGCGCCGAGTCGAGGGCGCGTAGGCGGGGTGAGCGTGGCCGGAGGGTGGACCGACGCATTGGGAGGGTTGGCGGCATGTGAGCCTGTGGAAGGGGCTGGTGTGGATGCGAGGTCAGACGAGCATTCGTGCGGATTGGAGACGGATGCAAGGATGCGTTGGGTGGGGGTGGCGATTGGATAAGAGGGTGGATTGATGGCAGCCCGGGGGGGAGGAAGACGAGGAGGGTGATGACGCGAAAGCAAAGTGTGAAGGCTATTTGTATGCTGGAAGCTGTTGCTTTTGCTGGGATGTGTGCGGTGGGATGCTGGGGCGGGATTGTCGTTGGCTGGGGCTCGAGGCAAGCGAGTTAGGGAGAGATTGCCGATGCGAGGATGCGGTGAATATGCGGCGACTTTAGATGTGCGGGCGATGAAGGTCGAGCCGCGATGAAGAGGGTGGCAAGCGGTGGAAGCGTGGGAGAAAGGCGAGAGGGGTTGATGAAGTGCGTGCGAGCCGGGAGTCGTCAAGTTGGGGCGGTCGAGAAGGAGTCGAGGTTATGTGTACGAGTTGTTGTCGAGATGGGCGAAGCGAAGGGTGTATGGAAGCTGCGAGAGGAACCGGACGGATGCAATCGGTACGACTACGAAGCAAGCGAGCGAGCCGGGGCGAAAGGAGGGGATGGTAGTAGAGCAAGAGAAGAAGCGAAGTGGCTGACGTGGTTTGCAGGTGTGGCCAGGGTGTCGACGAGCGAGAGAGACAGGGAGAGAGGAGATCAAGGTAGGAGTGAGACGAGGAGGAGGCGAGGAGGAGGCGAGGGCGCGACGCTAGACGGAGCTTGCAGGCGAGTTTTGCGGAGCGGAGGAGCGGCGGAGCCCAGTCGCCGAGTCCAGGCGGCGTGCAGCGGCGAGCAGCTCATCCCACACTTTCACCTTACACACACACAGACACACAGGCACCCCACCCACCCACAAATCAGCCCGTCTCGCCCGACTCGACTCGCCTCGACTCGATTCGAACGCGGCACAAATCCACACACTCACGCCAACGCGGCAAACGGCCCAACAGCCCAACGGCAAAATTGGGAATTCCGTAGCTCAGCAGCTCGGCAGCCTAGCAGCCACGACACGGCCCAACTGCCTGCCGATTCGACTTTTCTGGGCCGAGGCTCTCACTCACACTCAGGGCCCAGTCCAGTGGGGGGTTGGTTAGGCTCAGAGCTCCGCGTCGCTCTGCGTCGCAGTTCCACCACCACCACCACGAGCCTCGTGTTGGAAATTTGCAACGTGCAGCGCTGCCCTGCTGTGCCTCGCGCCTCCTCTCCATTCGTGATTGTCATCAGCGTGTTGCTCGCCCCTGCCGAACCTACGGCGACCGCCCTTCCGAAATGCACCTTTTTTGTCGGCGAGCGCGCTGGCCTGGCCCTCTTCGCTCCGACCCAACTGCAGCAGTATTGATACAGTCGTCCTCCCGCCAGTGCACACCCGGTGCTGCACAGCGCAGCATCCAATGCGCCGATATCCTGCCTCTGTCTTTCCCGCCGGCAACGAATGCCTGGCTTTCAATTCCGCTCGTCATCCTCGAGCTTCCCGTTTAGCAATCCGTTCTCAGCGCCTGCACATCTACACCCACCGCCTAAGCTCAAACATCTGCGGCCATAGAACCATGAAAGC